ATTCGTAGAATTTCTAAAGATGTGAAGCCAACTTAAACTTGACAATTAAGTGGACCTTTTTGCCAGAAACATTCATTTCAATCGAAATTCATTCTAATATATTCAAACAGAGGTTTTTCTCAGCGCGGAAAAGCTCGAACATAATTTACGCTAGGGAATTTTTGAGACGTTCATTCAAAAGGCATGAGACTCTTTAAAAAAAACAATGAGGCGTGGATAAAAGCTAGTTAGAAAGACAAGGCCCTAAAAGTAAAAATACGCGAGCATTATATTCACTTGAACCTACGTAAAATTTTTATTCACTATTAACTTATCTTTTTTCTTGTCAAGTGGGAGAAAAACATTTAGGAATACTCAAAAACCTAAACAAGAGAGAGAAAAAAGAGTGAAGTAAACGATACTAAGAGGATTCATTTCCTAAAATCATGTGCAACTATTTCAAATTAAGGAAATATATATAAATAAAATGAGATGAGCATATTTCAAAGGGAACATGATATCATAGAGATAAAACATTTTTTTCCGGATTGAATTGGCTACGGACGAGGCCGAATGGTCACTGCTTCCGCGTCACTGAGCGCCCTTACGTCGGGCCTAATCAAACGGAGCGAAGTGAAATATAATTGTCCGCGGAGAAGACAGCTGATGTGTGTTCCAACAATCCCGCAGTAATTAAACCGTAATTATTGGCGAGCTATTTAGTCGCATAGAGATCCAGGCCCCTCCCTCCGCACCCCTGACGAGCTCCAAGTCCTCATAAGCCCCCACGCTTTATTACGCAAATTCCTTCATTCTCTTCCTCTCTCCTTTTCTTCCTTTACGGCTGTTTTTCGACCCGGGTTTAATTTACGTAAGGTTCACCGCGATGTTGCAAGACTTGGTGCGTTCCAGCGAAATTTCCCTCACCTTTGATCGTGTAAACAGGGATGCGCTACGTCGCATTGTGGGGGATAATAAGTTGGGAGTGGTTCCAAATTCAACTAGTCGCAAATTTTCGGAAGTCATACATTCTAAGTCTAGAAAAAATATACTTTCACCGTGAAAATAGTCGTTAAATTTCGTCCTTGATATTGAATCTTATAAAGGGTTAAAACTTCAAACTTCTTTCTCTCGGCAAAAATTGAGATGACTTGATGCGTCTCGCGTAAACTCGGTTCAATTAATGAACTGTGAGAGTTCCTTAGCTATTTTATTCCATTCATATGATTTTTTTTTCACTTGGTAATTTTCCTTTTAAACACAGGGTGTTAATCGATTGACTTTTTGCTGAACCAGCTTTAATACGTTTTCCATAAATGTAAATGAGGATTTTTCACACAAAAATTATCTACCTCGCGAACTAAACTGCTTGCAGAGTATTTTTCTCACTTTCGAATATAATTAAATCAGAAGAAGGAAAAAATACAGCTGCAATGTGTATACAAGAAATTCTGAAAAATTTATTTTAGCGTAAAAATTTCACGCTTTCAAATAAGTACCGCGTCGGATAGCCTCTATTCAAATAACAAATCGAGGTAAGCGTGTGTCAATTGACCGATACATTGGCTACGTTACTTGAAAAGTCGTTTGGATCTAAAGCCTAGACTCTTAAAACATTGCCAAGAAAAAATACTCTTGATTCAATCGAATGTTTGTTTGAATCGAGAGCCAAGCCTCTTAATTTCAGCGGATTTACCCTTGATTCAAGCAAGAATCCGATTTAATCGAAAATATATTTTCTTGTCAATGCTCTCAAGAGTCTAGACTCTAGATTCAAGCGACTTTTTTTTCCAAATTGCCATAAAATCGTGTCATCTTTAAAAACGCGGCAAAGCGATCGACATCAAAGCAGTCCATTTGTTCTGGATGAACCCCGGTTTTATTGGGGAATCGAACATCGAATATCGAAGGACGTAGCCATTAAACCAGTGAATAATAACCTGGATAATCCGTTCTGCATGGCAACGCTGGGTCGCGTGATTCTGCGCACTAAACGTGCGGCACTGCATAAAATACACACTGCTCAGTTTTCTTTTGAGCCCCCTCCCCACCGTGTCCCACTCACCCTCCCCCGCGCCCGACTAAGGCTTCGATGCTTTAATTTTTCAGGTTTTTTCTGCCTTGCAGATCCGTGAGCTCCACGGTTTGTTCTGCATTACGCTGAAAAGCCATTAATCTAGACGCACCGTGCTTGAAGCCCAACTTGAAACCTAGGAAATTTGAGGGAGTATGGGAGCTTCACAGTGCTTGACGAATCGCAAAGCCGATTTCTTCGCAACAAAAGTCGACATTGAAGGAAAAAAGGAAAAACCTGAATTGTTGTGAGAGAATCACATTTACAATATTCATATAAATCAGGTTTTAGGTTTAACGAAATTATTCAGTTTTCGGATACTCATAATGAAATCAAATGAAATACTGGGCTATTAGCCGATGTTTACCACAATGATAAGTAACTCAGGCCATGCTTTAAAAAAAAAAAAAAAAAAAAAAAAAACAAAGTGCGAGAGGCGTTGTTCTCATTCGTCTTTTTAATGAGGCAACTAGTGCAAATGTGTGTACAGGCCATGCTACAATCTGACTTAACTCGCCGTATGATTGTACGCAATATAAACGCATTTTTTGAGGGAGACTTTAACGAATGGGTGAAAAAGTAGTTGCTAGGTTTCAGGTCGACTTTAAATTCAAACAAACCAAATACCTCCGACCAAAAAAAATCCCCATTGTAATAGTTACTTGTACGTTGTCTTCGAAATTGCAATTCTTGCAGGAGACTTTAACGCATGGATAGAAAAGTAGAGGCTGGGTTTTAAGGTTAATTTCAAGTAATCAGAAAGTAACAGAACCTCCGGCCAAATACTATGTTTGAAACTAACGAGTGCCGTTAAAACCAACCTCTCACCGGTTCCCTGACTACAATCCAATCAATACATTCGGTGGTCAAATCGCTAACTCCTTTCATTTCCCACTGATTTTTGTCAAAATATTAAGTATTTCCGGGTGCATTATTGCTTGTGAACTGAAAATAACGCGAAAGAGATTCGACTTTTTTATTCTTAAGGTATGGCTTTGACTTCCCTGTTGTCTTCATGTACATGGAGTGGAGAGACCTTTGACGGAAGTCGCAGAAACCCGTACTCGCCTCTGATTGGTGCCATGACACCATTCGGTTCGGTGTGAAACTTGGGCGTTTTAAATTTGCAGAAAAGTTGCGCTTTTTGACTTACACATTTCTCGGGTTCTGATTACCTTTTCGCGTATATATGTGTTTTACGCGTCATTTGCCTTCAGTAAAAGGTATTCGCAAGTCAAAATTCCTCCATGGTTCAGTGACCCATTATATGAGTGACAGGGTTCGTCTTCAAGTGTCCATCAGGGGAGCGACGACCATGCAGTCATGCACAAGACCCGTTGGTGGACGAATGCCGTCGATCGACCGCGGAAGAGGAGGGGGGGGGGTGAGGCAGGCGGGCGGAATCCGAATCACATGAAAACAGGGTGTCCGAGCAGGTGAAACAGTTGTAAACGAGATGGTTCGAGTGATTTCGTATTAAATGATACGTAACTTCTCATTGCCGACCCCCTCGCCCTGCACCCACAAAGCTGGCTGCGGCCGCGGTCGCCGCGCGGCGAGGACTGTACAGGATTCCGGCGCGGACTGTTTGGACTGGACCGGCCGAGCCAGGTTGCCAGATTGATGCAGATCAGAATAGTTGATAGGACGTTACGAGACGAGCCCCCGCCTTCCGAACATAACGATCTGAGATCTGGGTGAACCAGGACTGTCATCTTCCCTGTAGACGCATTCAGTGGTGACGTCACAGAACAATGGACCACTAGACCAGGTACGAATTTCAGCATTTTGATACATGTTTCGTAGCTAAAATTTCACGCAGAACACGATGCGCACAACAAAAATTACCGAAATTAACTCCTCACGAAGATATTTAATGATTCTTGATGCGTGAATTCAAACCACCCGCCTATGAAAACTCAATGCTCTACGTGATGAACATCGCGCACTAAACGTTATCATGGCAGTCTCTGCGATATAAAAATCTGGCAACCTCAATCTTGACGCTTTGGCTCAGCTTTAGCAAATTGCTCACAGTTTGAAAAATACATGGCGGGAAATGAACATTGCTTGGTTGAGAAGCTTGCTGAAACCGTTGTAGTGCGCGATTTGACTCACGTAGGGCTTTGAGTTTCTTGTGAGCGGGCAGTTCAAATTCCTTGTAACCAATGTGAGATAAAAACGTTAACATCTTCGTTAGGAGTTGATTTCAGTAACTTTTGTTGCGCGAACCGTGTTCTACGTGAAATTTTGGTTAAAAAACATGTATTAGAATGCTTAAATCCGTACCCTGTCTAGTGGTCCATTGTGCTGCCATTCACAGCAAAAACGCCGTAACTCCACTCAAAATGCGTCTATAGGTACTGTAAAAGTTATTTCCGGGTGTCAACGCTCAGATTCGTGACTCATGAACGAAGAGTTGAGCAATTGGTTGGGCGATTCTGATCTTACTTATTGAAAAAACTTGCCTAGCAAAGGGCTCATTCCGATATTCATCAAACATCATCAAACAGATTTTATGCGCGTTTAAACTGGAAAAAAATAGAGTATACAGACTCTTGAAAACGTTGACAACAAAAAATACTCTTGATTCAATCGGATTTTTGCTTGAATCAAAACGAAGTCCGCTTAACTTAAGAGGCTTGGTTCTTGATTTAAGCTACATTCTGATTGAATCATGAGTACTTTTTCTTGGTGACGTTTTTAAGAGTCTGGACTCTAGATTCAATGTGTTTTTTTTTCCAGTGTATACTCAACAGGTTGCTCATCAATAATCATCAGCGAAAACTAGCGTTGACCTCTGAACTTAACCCGATTCCATCCCTTGGATGGTAAGGGCGGGGTCTCTAAGAGAGACTGTCTTTGGTTGTAGTTTATATCTTACGTTGCTTTGGCGGAAAATTCCACATAATATTATCACAAATTTGTAAAATTTATCATTCCTTACCTCTTTTTAGCTCAGGTTTTCCAGCTTTCACATCCAAATTGGTAAAATATCCTCACTGTAACAATCAAAGAAAAGGAAAATACGTTTTAGTGAGAACTTATAAGATGAAAAAAATAAAAAAACACGTTACTTAAAAGATCAAAAACATAAATCACCTGTCGTGCACCGATTATGACTCAAATGACAGAAATCGCACATTATTCGCAACTTATTGCACGGTATTCGCACAGAAGTAAATCGTAATGATGATTTTCATTGAGTCGTATACTGTGGCTATTACAGAATTATATATGGTGTTTAAGCACCGATAAAAGTAAAATAATTGCACGGGTCACTATTGCGCGGAAATGAAAGACGTAGTGTGTACATTTTCTTAGTATACAGAAGAGGCAACAATTCAGCACGATTTGTTGCATTTGATCGTTACCGTGATGTGCAGAGCAAAAAGTGAGCTCATCTAAGGCGATTGTAAAGGGGTTTGCGCTCCTCCAACGGGCAAAAAGAAGAAATTAGACAAAATAGTAAGGTAGCAGAAGAGCAACCATAGTAAAGTTACTTATTTTGTTAAAAGATTAACTATGCGAGACAAAAATCAACCCACGCCATTGCATTGTTTCGCACATGCAAGAACTCAATCAAATTCCTCATCAAAAAAACACTGCTTTGTGCTCCAATGAAGTTAAGAAACGATACACTCCCTGTTTTTTGTACCAAAATATTGTGGTACCTTGATCCTGATGCTCCTTTCCAGTTTGCATTCGAATTTTTTTGTGACTGCATCAAAGTATCTAATAGAGTTTGATACAGCTTTTAGTAAAAAATTGAGGTCGAGAGTGTTCGATTGTTGATTAAGCTTGACACTCTCCAGCACAGTCTAATATTAATAATTTGTTCTAAGTTTTTCTAACTTACAAATGAAACGTGACATTATTTTCACATTTCACACATTGCCATGTGATTCATTCGTAAATTGACTCAATCTTCATGATCCTGAAACCATGCTCACCATTAATTCCGACAATATGAGTCAGTGCTCTTTCTTCGGCAATAAACTGAAGATAACATGGAGTGAGCGTTCGAGCAAACGACTGAAAGTTGAAAAAACCAGCCTCGCGCGGTGTGTGGTTAGGGTTGACGATACGTTGGCTCTTAATTTAATTTGAGCGGGCTTCCTGGCAAAAAAGATCAGCTTGCATCGCGTCCCCGGATAGATTTACGACTGCATCAGGGTTGTCTCATTGGACCGTAAAATGTATGCACCTACCAAACGCATTGAAAACACGGGGGAAAATTTCCTCTCAGCGAGTGACGATTGACGAAGGATTTCGATAAATTTGTATTTTCGAACTATCATATCTGATGCACTATTTTCATTGATATTAAGCGGTTTTCTTGTTCATCTACTGTAACTAAATTCTTCATTTCTTGAATTGTCTTCAGACGTACATCACCAAAAGTTTAATTTAGTCAACGTTAATGTAATTCAACGATGCAAAAAAATGAGTTAAATCAAATTCCTTAGATAGTAGCAAAAAACTAATCATACATTCAATGTGAGATTGTAGTTGAATCGGATAAATGCAATTCCTTATGAATTCAAATGCATGTAGTACTCTTTTGATTAGTGCAATCTTGCATGGTTTGCTATTTTTAGCCCATGTTCCTAAAAATGAAATTGCTTGACTATAAATTTAACTAACTTTCCCAAATCCAAATCCCCGCGTAGGACCACATTCTTCTGCAAAAATACGGGCAGAGGGGGAGATTCATCAGGTTTTCAATTGTCAAGAAAAATTATACTCATAATTTTATTGGAATTTGGAAACATGTTCTGCTTCATTCACAATAATAGAGGATACCCAACTGCGACCGAACTTTTAAAATTCCTAAAGGTTCCGGATCTTTTGCATTTTTCGGAACTTTCTCGGTACTTTTGAAAAAATCTTTAAAAAAATCTCGGAACTTTTGACGGTCATGAAATGGGATAAATTGAAACAAAAAAGTTCCGGATTCCGAAACCTTTGACGGTCATAGAATGACAGCACTGGTTGACACAGATACAGAAAATATAATATTAAAAAATGGTAGCAGGCAAAATTGTTGCTCATCTTCTCCCACACCGAGCGGTATTTTATCGTAAGTTTTCGCGCTTTGGCAAACTTATTACTTGGCGCAAAAAGGGCAACATCGGACCGCACGGAGCTTTTACGGCCAGCAAATGCGCACAGGTAAGATTCTTAGAAAATCAGACTGGTAATTTATGTGATCAGCAAACAAATTCAAATGGCAGCCTTTTGATCTCCGGTTATGAAACTCAACTCTTGGACAGGGCTCCCTGATTGGATTGGATGGCCAGAATACGCGCGGCTATAATGTGGTCATGCCCACCGCTGCCAAACTGCATCATTAGATTATCATATTTCCATCTGCATTTAAAGAGTTATCCACCAGGAAATGAATCCTCGTATCTTCTCTTAATGATACGATGGATGAATTTTTCTTCGGTATATTCAAACCCCCAAGCTTTAACAGCTGTCTAGTGAGCTCTCACTACAGGAAAAACAAAATGGAGACCAGTTTTGAATGATGCCTGGAATCACATCTATCTGAAACTTACACTCCAAATACTGAGACTTTTAGCGTAAAAAGGTTACCGGAGGAAAATGGAGTGTTATGTTTTTTTTATTATGAAACCTTTTCACGAAGTTCATTAGCTTTCATGACCTTATTGGTTAAAATATTTTATTTATGAGCGTAAGTTCAAATCACTTATGAGTACAAATATTTTACACGTAAATACACCGTTAAGACTGTGCGGAACTGATGTCTTGCGATGCTAATTTTTCTAACAATATTTGGACAAACTTTCGCGGGAAAGAGTTGAGTAGCATTATCAAAAACATTGTTGCTCGGATAGAATCGACGTAATCTTCAATTTAAGACGCATAAAACTTTTGAATTTATGACTGAATGAAGCCTTAAACCCATTAGCCTCTGCTCCAAGTTCAAGCCATTTGAGATCCTTTCGCTAATGCTCCCGCTAATTCCTTGACAGAAATTCCCCACTATAGTGTGGTTACATTTAGTTACAATTTCATCCACTGTTACTTGGTTGGGTAAGCTATACATAAGTGGATATCTTCATCTACAAATATTAAATCAGACAATCTAAGGGGAATATTTACAGCAGTTATGCGATTTTGGAATATTTACACTAATCTAAGGCGAAAACTAACAGATAAAGGAACTATTTGGATACGGAAGGTTTATCGTCACGAGGAGGCCAAGCTCTGTGAGGAAGATCTTAGATTTTAGGTCTTGGTGCTGGTGTGTGGTCTCACTCTTTAGTCAATGTCCCAATGTCACACGATCAAACTGTGCCATCAATGTATTAAGATCAAGTGCTGTCAAGTAATTGAAAAAGCCAACCACAACATCTGACCTTGATATTTTGATAGTTGGGTTTGATCGTGTAACAAGAGCTTTTGGAAAAAATCAATGGGGACATGGCATTGGTTAAAGAAAAGAGGAGCGGACAAAAACTGCACTCACGTAAGTTCTCATAATGAAACTGCTCAAACGGTGAACTCTATATGTTTTGGGTCCCTCCAATTCTTCCTGTGCTTTTTCTCCTGAATTTCAAGGGGCGCTGTTCCCCTGATTAATGGAATTCTTAGAGTGCAAACGTGAGGCTTAAGAAGACTGAAATGGCTTACTTCACAAATGATATTTTGCGATAAGTTTTAATAGAAATAAACCTCTACCATCACGAAGGTAACATTTAAAAACACAAGAAACAAAAAAAAAGAGAACATTATTTTCGAACACCGTGAGAAATTTGGGGCTAGATCTAGCATGCCAAGATCCTCAAGCAAATTCAAAGTATTTTGAGGGAAGTGAAAGTTTCCAAGACTAGAAAAAAAACAACAAAAAAATTATTTTCGAACATTACGAGAAATTTAGGGCTCTTTCTAGCACGTCAAGAACCTTACGAAAATTCAAAATATTTTGCGGGAAGTGAACGCTTCCATGACTAGACTAGTGTGTATTTTTAATTATTTTTCTTCTTCTTCTTCTTCTTCTTCTTCTTCTTCTTCTTCTTCTTCTTCTCCCTCTTCATCTTCTTTTTTTGTCGCACTAGGTGGTTTTAAACTTTCCAAGGGAACACCCAGAACCGTAGAAACACTTCGCCTAACAACAAAACTACACAAGAAAAATTTGGAAGAGCTTAGTGAAATTGTGTACGGGTCTCTCGCTAATTGCAAAGACCCGAGGCGGAAAAGTGGGAATTTTCCTTCGATCTGCCAACTGTGATTGGCCGGAGGAGCCCGGCTGTGGCATGGCGCAGGCACCCAGCTAGCATCCAGTCACCGCCACCTAACTAGTCAGACACCTAGTCGAGCTAACTGCCCGGCCACTTTATGTAGAAACAGCAAGGTACCATTTTTTCCTGCCTCCCCCTCCCCTCCCCCGATGACAAAGATTTTATGCCTCGCCTCATTCCCGGGCGCTACAATGTACTCGGTAGCTACTATTTTACTGTACCGAGATATTGCTCTGGTTATTCCCATGAGAATTTTAGTGCCGCCCCGGCCGCGCCGCCGCCGCCGCACACTGGACCCAGTCGATAGGAGAGCTCGGACAAAATTTGGAATCTTTAAACGCTTATACCCTTATTCATACAAATTTTTGAGGTTTTAAAAGTGTTTCCATTGGTTTTCTCGCGAAATTTTTTTCAAGAGTCACCCCTAGAAATTTAAAATGTGACAATTTGAACATCAAAATTTGCAGTTTTAGTCGAAAATTTTATGTCCGACCTTTCTGATTGGTTCGATCCACCGTGCGCCGTACCGGCCACGGAGGATGACGCTAACCTGTTCGATATAAGCTTTAAATGCTCCTACTCCTGCTCCCAAGGTAGTTTTGCTCCATGTTCCCGGGAGTTCTTCCGTGTTTCCCTCTGTTTCACAACCTGTCTTTGTAGCTCCACGCTGGCATTTTTGCGATTTTCTGAAAAATGATGGTGATGCGTTTATTAATGGACGTATTTCTGCT